CACTTTTCTTTTGCTGTATGATAATCATTCACTGTAAATAATTAGTGAAATTTATACAAATGTTGAGTTGAATATTATCTCTCATGATTATTGTTACAGAATTTTTATGGAAAATTATTGATTGTCACAACAAGAAGAAAGTGTGTCCAGAACATTTTATAAATTTGTTAGATCGATCATAAATATCATCCTCTGGAATATATCTATATAACTAAAACAATTTTTAGCATACGATCTTTTCGCTTCTGCCGTCATTAAATAAAGACTCACAGAGAGTCTCCAGGAGAGACTCTCAATATATATACAGTGTTTAACATCCTTACCAAAGCTAGTATATATCTAGAATAGAATCAACCATGTGAAATTTTGAGATATTAATGATAAAAAATTTCTACCAAGAGAAAAATTCTACCAATTTCTACTCTTAGTAGAAATTTTTTATCATTAATATCTCAAAATTTCACGTGGTTTATTAAAAAAAGACCGATTCCATTATTAACCACGATCTATTCTAGCTATACAAGGTGATTCAGGATCTCTGCAACAAATTTGGAGGGACGATAGGTATAGTACAAAGGACCATTTTTTGTCAAACAACCCATATTCTCTGACGCGTCGTTTAGATGCTACGCGACTGCGAAAGTCTTAGGTGACATTGATTACGATTATGACTTCCTTACTTACTTTAAAGAAAATACTCAAAGTGTCTACCCTGAACTTCATTGCATTCATGGCATCGTCGTAACATTGATTGGCGGACTCTATCGAATATTTAAGATCTTTGTTGCATTTGGACAAAAGCAGCGCATATTTACTCAATTAAGTCCTCTCTGCAATTAATTGATGTAACGTACACGACACTCTTTACATGTCCCTAAAGAAAAAAATCGAGGGGCGTTAATTCAGGCGATCGATAGGAGTTCGATAGAGTCCGCCAATCGATGTTACGACGATGCCATGAATGCAATGAAGTTCAGAGTAGACACTTTGAACATCTTCTTTAAAGTAAGTAAGGAGATCATAATTGTAAGCAATGTCAGCTAAGACTTTTGTGGTCACGTAGCACCTAAACGACGCATCAAAGAACATGGGTTGTTTGACAAAAAATAGTCCTTTGTATAAGAGCTATCGTCCCTTAAAGTTTGTTGCAGAGGTCCTGAATCACCCTTATATTAGCTTTGATAAGGATGCTGTCAAATATTCTATATATGTACAGGTTGCGTGAAAAGTTCGCGGAGCGAAACTGAAATAAAAAATACCTAATTCTAAAAATGATTTTATTCTTTAATATAGCCTCCATTAATTTCAATATACTTGGCCCAATGACTCTCCAATAATTTTATTCCATCGCGGAAGTGTGTTTCTGGAAGGTCTGCGAAATATGCCTCTACGGCTGCTATAGCTTCTTCATTCGACAAAAAATGCTTTCCACGGAGGAATTGTTTCAGGTTTCGAAACAGATAGAAGTCGCTGGGTGTCAACTCTGGCGAATATGGTGGATGATCAAGCAATTTGTACTTCAATTCATTAAATTTAGACATTGACAAAACATTTGCGTGAGCAGGTGCGTTGTCTTGGTGAAAAATGATTTGTTTGTGCTGCAAACCAGGTCTTCTCTGGAATTTTTACGTCCAATTGATCCGAAAGGTTACAATAATATTCAGAGTTAATTGTTTTACCTTTTCCCAGATAGTCAATTAACAAAATCCCTTTAGCATCCCAAAAAACTAATGCCAAAACCTTTTTTGCCGATCTTTCATGCTTTGCTTGCTTTGGAGCTGAACATCCAGCTTCAGTCCACTGTAAACGTTCCTGTTTCAATTTAGGATCATGGTGAAAAATCCAAGTCTCATCCATAGTTATAAAACGACGCACAAAATCGGTTTTATTCTTCTTAAAACAATCCAAATGACGCTGAGAAATTTGCTTTCGAGCGAGTTTTTGTTGAATTGTTAACGTATGCGGCACCACTTTTCCAAACACCTTTTTCATTTGTAATTCTTTATGCAAAATATGCCATACCCGTTCATCTGAAATGCCTGTGGTATGAGCAATTTCATGCGTAGTCACACTTGGATCTTCAGAAACAATACATGTATTTGCTCAATGATTTCTGGTGTTGATGCGCTTTTTGAACGTCCACTGCGTGGATTATCTTCAATGCTTGTAAGACCACGTTGAAATCTAAGTACCCATTTACAAACCATTGTTTTTGAAGGAGTAGATTCCCCTAACACATTTACCATCTCGGAATGAATTTCCATTACCTTTAAACCTTTTTTAACAAAGAACTCAATCACTGCACGCTGTTTCAAATTTTCCATTGCAAACAAATATACTGACACGTCAACTTCAATTGGCTTGTAAACACAGAAAGAATTGACAGATGGAAATGAAACCTAACCTAGGTTCATGTGAAGAGTGATTCTATATAACTGACTACAATTTATAATTCTACCGTTTACTTATAAATGCCGCTCCGCGAACTTTTCACGCAACCTGTATATATGGGTGTTTCAGACCACCCGGGTCACCCGATTTTTTCGTTAACGCAATATTTCAGAGAAAAATATTTCAGACAAAAGTTGTAAGGTTTCAAAGTATCTGATATTTACTGACGCTATGAATTTGATGGCTTTGGTGAGTTTGGAATAACCTTGAAAAGTTCAGTCAAGATCAATATAAAAATCTTAAATGGATACCTCAATTTCTTATTACATCAGCTTTTTCTAGCAATTAATTTGAACAACTCCTGTCTGAAACATTTTTTTATTTACCTAATGTTTTTTGAGATATTTAAGGAAAACTTATAATAATTGTTTCAATATTTAACTCACGATATCTCGCTAACTATTTGTCAGAAGAAAAAGTGGTACTAGACTTTTTTGCTCTATTTAGTCTCAAGAATATATTTTTACAATAGCGCCCTGATTTTTGTTAACTTACTGACTTTTGGAAATTTCAAAATCATCAACTTAACAAAAATCAGGGTACTATTGTAACAATATATCTTGAAACTAAATAAAGTAAGAAAGTCTAGTACCACTTTTTCTTCCGACAAATAGCGAGATATCGTAAGTTAAATATTGAAAAAGTTGTCAAGTTTTCCTCAAGTATTTCAAAAAACATTAGGCAAATAAAAAAATGGTTTAGACAAAAATTATTCAAATTAATTGGTAGAAAAAATAAGGGTTCCCGTTTAAAAAACGCAAGTTCACCTCCAAATGACTTTGAAGATCATGGCCAAGGTCAAATTCAAGGTCACCATCAAGTCCGTTATTCGATTTTCTATAACTTTTATATTTAAAGTTTTTCACGCAAACTTGATCCTGCAAAGTTATCCGGGGGTTATCCGGGGGTATTTTTAAGACACCCTGTATATATTGCAATATAAAGCATTATTGCATACAAATTATAATACAAATGTTGCTGCAATGTTACACTGCAATGTTATTGCAATATTTCATTGCAATATTGCTGCAAGCGGACATTTTATCTTTGCTGCAAGATTGCAGCAACATTGTAGCAACATTTCGCACCGTTTCTGCAATGTTGCAATCTTGCAAAACAACGTTCCTGCAATGTTGCTGCAACGGTGTTTTACTGCATGGGACGTAAATAACAAGAAGAACGATACAAGAATTTCATCAGAAAATCCAAGATGCGACTGAACTGATTCAAAGTAGGCTAAAAACTTTTGAAAAAGCTCACAAGAATCTGTACGAAAGTGTGAACCAAGCTTGAACACCAAGCTTGAACACATCTTATAAATATCGTAAATAATATCGGAAGAAAAATATGATAAGATATTTGTTAACATCAAAGTAATAATAAAATTATTTATAATATGTAAGAATAATAAGAATAATAATATAGTAACATTTTCATTCGCTAAATTTGTGTTCCAAAGCTAAAGAAAGATTTATAGCTCTGAAAAAGTTGATTTCTCGACCTATGTTTACTAAACATTTTTCAATAAGTATAAGGAATATACTATCTATCCTGTAAATTTTGTTTACACTACAGGACATTTGTTCTGTTTTTAACAGCCTGTATAAGAAAATTATCATTCGGCATAGCAACTCAAATAGGAAACTGACCGACATCGCATAAACAAATCTGTTCACGCATTAATAAGCTTTACTTAGGTTCCTACAAACTTTCCATATAGAGTAAGTCCGGGATAGATGGATATAGTTTTCTAATTGGAAATAACACGTCTGTATTATTGTAATAAATGTAGAGGATAATGTTTAAAGTATAGAAGAATTTTTATGAAAAAAATTCATAGGATTCCAATCCCAGAAAACCATTTGATGCCAAATCGGCACCAAGTTGGCACCAAATGTACCCAAAACTTGACGTCAAATCAGGTGCCATCTGTGTCCGCAAAAAGCTCGGGTTCTGGTACCAAAGATTGTGTACATAACCTGATGCCAAATTGACGCCAAATCCACAGCAAACTTTGGTGTCAGAATCCGACAGCAAATTGGCGCTAAATACAGCGCAAACCTTGATGTCAGAATCCGACAGCAAATTAGCACCAAATATGTAGCAAACCTTGGTGTCAACGCGACACCAAATTGACGCCAAACCCACAGCAAATCTTGGCGCCAGCACGCGACACCAAATTGACGCCAAATCCACAGCAAACTTTGGCGTCATACGTGATATCAAATTGACACCAAATCCATAGCAAATCTTGGTGGCAGCCGCGATACCAAATTGACACCAAATCCATAGCAAACTTTGCTGTCAAAGTTTAACACAAATTTGACGCCAAGAATTAAATAAAATTTGTCGCTTTAATGCCATAATTTTTTTATTTCAGGAATTAAATGAATCACAAATAAAAATATAAATGTTTTTATTAGAACCATATATATTACAAATTAAAACTATTTAAATTTAAATAAATAAATAGGTAACCCCCAATATGTATATATATTCAGTTCCACTCAATAAAAGTTTATATTATATCATATATATATATATATGATATAATATAAACTTTTATTGAGTGGAACTGAATAGTACCGATTGTTTATTGCAACACAGATGTATCAACGTCAACGTCTTAAAAATGTGGCACTGAAAAGTGCCGATTTGCTCCACCCTCTTCGGGTAGAGTATGTGTGGTGTATGTGTGTAATGTGAGGCGTAGGAGCAGCACGCTACTTCACAAGTGACCCTGCGAAATACGTGTGATGTGTGTGTGCGTGTATGTGTGTGCATGTGTGAGCATGTATGTGGAATCCCTCTCTCCTGCAGCAATCCCTCTCTCCTGTGGCAATCCCTCTCTCCTGTGACCGTGGATTGTCGCATCTGTAAATACCCTGTAAATACAAAAGTTTTTACCTTTTCAAAAAATTAACATAAAAATAAATATTATCATAACTGTCGTAATCAACATATTACCGTTTATTTCCTTCTTGTTTCTTTATGTATTTTCGGGCTCTTCCTCTTGTTCTTTCTCACGATCGTCGTCCCATAAGTCCCTCTGGATCCTTGGTCCTCCTGCCGTCGTCCCTCGTCTTCTGTGCCTGTGCCGCTCCTTAGCTGTTCGTAAGGCCGCTTGTATTTGAGTTTGGAACTCGGAACGCAGAGGCCTTTCGAAATGCCGATTACGACATATACCATCTGGAAAATTATAAGTTATCATTATATATCATGATATGTATCATATAGATGCCGAAAAAAATATTATATTAATATCACGTGGCAAACATCGAACGTAGTGATATCATAACGACGTACTTGCTACGTCTGTCAAGATAGAGTTAAGTGACATGAATATATAAAAGCCTTATCATTTCTTACAACAAAACTTAGACGATATTCAGCCCTACACATAAATTTGCAGATTGGGTAAGTTACTATCATTTTCATAAGATCATAATAAATAACTTATGTGTTAGGCTTAAAATCGTTAAAGTTGTGATGCAAGGAATGGTAAGGCATTTATAGATTGCCGGTAATTAATCAGTTCAGGCCCCTCACCTCCGATTTGGCTGAAACTTACATATATTGTGTATTTTGACGCGTAGAAATTGAATCTATAAGTCAAAATCGTCGCTCTGCACTGTGAATTGAGATATAGGATCAGTTCTTTATAGCTGCACTCTGCTGAACTAATGCAATAAGTTAAAATCTGACAACTATATTTTTTCTCACTCTAAGTTATTGCATTAGTTCAGTATTGCAGCTACAAAGAACAGACCCAATAATGGTTAAAGTTGACTGGGATGACAGGTTAGAAAACCTGTCATGCTAACGAGTTAATAGCAACACTAGTATACTCTGTGGCCACCCAAACAGCAATAATTTTATAGTTTCTAGATATACTTTAGAATATACACATGTGTATATATATGTATATTTGTCAAAAATAATGTTTAAAAATGCTATTTTTCTATACAGGGAGGTGAACGATCGTTTAGATCATATGGAGACACAGATGAAGTGAGTATATACTTTTTAATCTTAGAAAAATTAATTGAAACTGATATTTCCTTACCTTGTGTTGTCAGGAAAATGAATACACTCTTGGAGAATATCTACAAGTGCGTGCAAAACACCAACCAATGTACTTCAGTACCAGAGACCAGAGATGTTCCCCATAGCATCGATCGCACAATTACGTGCTTTCCAGGATATTCATATAGAACTTTACAACAATGCTGTAAGTAGAAAGAAACATTTTGACGCCTTTTGATGTATTATTTGTTTGGTTATTATACCTGTCTTTTCTGTTTCAGGTCAACTATTTCCATTACATCGGTGGCTTCAACTTTAAAGAAGCTGTAAATCTATGTTTCAAGGACAGCATCCAGGACTCCTTGACGCCACTTTTGACTTGGTTCGGGGGCAAGAGGCATTGTACAACACTCGCTTGGTGAAAGCCATCTACAGTAAGTATACTTCTTATTCATAACTTGTTGTATATGTGTTTTATTATTTCTGTATTTACTATGTGTGAAAGTTACGATTTTCAGTGTCACTCTGTATGTATGACGTTGAAGATCATGTAACTTTTATATAAAATGAATACAGTAATAATAAGACACGCATACGTAGCGATGTGCTTGCTATATCTATTTAGATAGGGATAAGCACGTATGAATATAAGGTAATTATCATCCAGTTTAGACCCCTCAGTTCTGATTTCGCTGAAATTCACATAAATTATGTATTTTAACGCGTAGAAACCGAATCTGTAAGCTAAAGTCGTCGCTCCATACCATGAAGCGAGATATGAAACGTTAAAGTTGACTGGTATGACAGGTTAGGAAATCTGTCACAGCAACTAATCGTAGCGACACTAGTATACTCTGCACGTGCTCACCTGCGTTTTTATATATCTTTTAATAAATGTTTTTATTATTTATAATCTAATATATATACTCATTTAAGAAGACAAAGATTTAATAAGAAATTACAACTAACGTGTACATTACATGTAACATTGTGTTTGCTGGGTACTTTGATAAATATTCTGATTTAATTGTTTTTTAATCTAACATTTCTTCTAAAGTATATCTAGAAACTATAAAATTATTGCTGTTTGGGTGGCCACAGAGTATACTAGTGTTGCTATTAACTCGTTAGCATGACAGGTTTTCTAACCTGTCATCCCAGTCAACTTTAACCATTATTGGGTCTGTTCTTTGTAGCTGCAATACTGAACTAATGCAATAACTTAGAGTGAGAAAAAATATAGTTGTCAGATTTTAACTTATTGCATTAGTTCAGCAGAGTGCAGCTATAAAGAACTGATCCTATATCTCAATTCACAGTGCAGAGCGACGATTTTGACTTATAGATTCAATTTCTACGCGTCAAAATACACAATATATGTAAGTTTCAGCCAAATCGGAGGTGAGGGGCCTGAACTGATTAATTACCGGCAATCTATAAATGCCTTACCATTCCTTGCATCACAACTTTAACGATTTTAAGCCTAACACATAAGTTATTTATTATGATCTTATGAAAATGATAGTAACTTACCCAATCTGCAAATTTATGTGTAGGGCTGAATATCGTCTAAGTTTTGTTGTAAGAAATGATAAGGCTTTTATATATTCATGTCACTTAACTCTATCTTGACAGACGTAGCAAGTACGTCGTTATGATATCACTACGTTCGATGTTTGCCACGTGATATTAATATAATATTTTTTTCGGCATCTATATGATACATATCATGATATATAATGATAACTTATAATTTTCCAGATGGTATATGTCGTAATCGGCATTTCGAAAGGCCTCTGCGTTCCGAGTTCCAAACTCAAATACAAGCGGCCTTACGAACAGCTAAGGAGCGGCACAGGCACAGAAGACGAGGGACGACGGCAGGAGGACCAAGGATCCAGAGGGACTTATGGGACGACGATCGTGAGAAAGAACAAGAGGAAGAGCCCGAAAATACATAAAGAAACAAGAAGGAAATAAACGGTAATATGTTGATTACGACAGTTATGATAATATTTATTTTTATGTTAATTTTTTGAAAAGGTAAAAACTTTTGTATTTACAGGGTATTTACAGATGCGACAATCCACGGTCACAGGAGAGAGGGATTGCCACAGGAGAGAGGGATTGCTGCAGGAGAGAGGGATTCCACATACATGCTCACACATGCACACACATACACGCACACACACATCACACGTATTTCGCAGGGTCACTTGTGAAGTAGCGTGCTGCTCCTACGCCTCACATCACACACATACACCACACATACTCTACCCGAAGAGGGTGGAGCAAATCGGCACTTTTCAGTGCCACATTTTTAAGACGTTGACGTTGATACATCTGTGTTGCAATAAACAATCGGTACTATTCAGTTCCACTCAATAAAAGTTTATATTATATCATATATATATATGATATTGTAATATATATGGTTCTAATAAAAACATTTATATTTTTATTTGTGACTCATTTAATTCCTGAAATAAAAAAATTATGGCATTAAAGCGACAAATTTTATTTAATTCTTGGCGTCAAATTTGTGTCAAACTTTGACAGCAAAGTTTGCTGTGGATTTGGTGTCAATTTGGTATCGCGGCTGCCACCAAGATTTGCTATGGATTTAGCGTCAATTTGATATCGCGTATGACGCCAAAGTTTGCTATGGATTTGGCGTCAATTTGGTGTCGCGTGCTGGCGCCAAGATTTGCTGTGGGTTTGGCGTCAATTTGGTGTCGCGTTGACATCAAGGTTTGCTACATATTTGGTGCCAATTTACTGTCGGATTCTGACATCAAGGTTTGCACTGTATTTAGCGTCAATTTGCTGTCGGATTCTGACACCAAAGTTTGCTGTGGATTTGGCGCCAAGGTTTATCATGTATTTGGCGTGAATTTGTTGTCGGGTTCTGCCACCAAGGTTTGCTTTTTATTTGACGCCAATTTCTTGTCGGATTTTTGTCAAGCCTTGCTCTATATTTGACGTTAATTTGGCATCAAGTTGTGTACGTAAAGTTTGTTGCATATTTGTTAACAATTTGTCGACATCATTTGAAATACCAAGTTTTGTTTCAAATTTGTGCTGTTTTTGCTGACAAAACTTGTAGCATGTGTTTGGAATTATTTGGCATTACAAATTTGGCTATCTGGGATAATAACAAAATATTAAAAATATTCTGTGAGAGATAAACAGTCAAGTGTCCGGGTTAGATGGTCATATATGAAGAGATAGTTGGACACGTCTATAATAATGTAGAAATTTGTTTATCTTTATTTATTTGTTAGTATTTTATATCCTTTTAGTAATTATCAACCTTCTTATCATTCGTTTTATTAATCTTTTTTTATTAATTATTAATAAAATAATCTTTTTATTAATTATTAGTAAAATAAAACAATATATCCTATAGATAGGTTAGTAAAACACATAAAGAAAATGTAGAAGCATGGATTCTCTCTCATTTGAAACAACGTACGAAGTTTGGTATTTAATGTTAGGTACCCAGGTAAAAATAACAGTCGAATATATATATATATATATATATAGAAAACGTCGATTCGATGTCCATTGCTTGATATTTCTCGCTTTTAATAAGTTGCTCATCTAACCCTGATAAAAATAAACCATCTATACCCGTTTGGAGAGTTTGCGTAAAGATGCATATACCACATGAAACGTAATCTCGGTGACGAATTTTGAGGTTAAATATGTAAATACGATGTTTTTTCAGTCGTTCAAGCCCACGTCTAATGTTGTAACTCAAATTAAACTATATTCGCAAGATATTTTTCCAACATGTGAAACATTTTGGAGGTTATTAGAAACATAAAATTTATATTCATTCACAATAAATGTTTTTGTGCGTCAGGAAGAGACACATTTACTCGTGGTACATCAAACACAACTGATCGATTAACGCCTAGCATATATTAACAAAATTATAGTAATTGACCATCTATCCCCTATGCCCATTGATCATCTATCCCCTACACCATCTATCCTGGACTTACTACTGTGATCAAAAGATAAGGTGAATTTGTTTATAAAATGAAAAATCTTTATTTATTCTTCCAAATCAATTTCATCGCCTTCAAAGTACTCCCCGTCCGACACAATGCACTTATGCCAACGTTTTCTCCAATCTTCGAAACAGTCAGAGAAGTCTTTTTCCGGGATGGCCTTCAATACTTTTTTCGATTCGGCTTTTATCTCCTCAATCGAGTCGAAACGGTGTCCCCGGAGCGGTCTTTTGAGTTTGTTGAACAGCCAGAAGTCGCACGGTGCTAAATCAGGCGAATACGGTGGTTGTGGAACGATATGAGTCAAATTTTTGTCGAAATGTTCTCGAAGAACCAATGCAGTGTGGGTCGGTGTCGAGATTTGACCCGTTTGAGACACAAAACATGTTTTAAAATGGTTTGGGTTGATCCAAATGAAATGCCCGTAGCATCAGCAAAGTCTCTAATTGTCAATCGACGATTTTCGAACAGCAGATCTTTGATTTCCTTGACGTGGCTTTCATCGGAAGATGTTGATGGTCGTCCGGGGCGCTGTTCGTCTTGAACTCGCTCTCGACCTTCTTTGAAGTCTTTGTACCACTTGTAAACATTTTTTTGCGACATAGCCTTATCACCAAAGGCCTTCTGTAACATCCTCAACGTTTCCGCGGCAGAATATTCATTCCGCAAACAAAATTTAATGCAAATTCTTTGCTCAACAAAATCAGACATAGTAAAAATCGAAAAAGTCACTTTTGTATGTTTATAAAAACATGTACAGCTCTGCAGCAATTGAATATATTGACATGAAACTCTGCGTAGATGTCAAAGACAATGCTACCAACTCACCAAAAAATAATTTCATGATTTTATAGTACCCGCGAAGTTTAAATGAAAAATTCTTTATTTTTGATCACAGAAGTACCTCACGACGTGCGCAAAGCTAAGAAGTTACTACGATATTTGCTACAGTAACGTATGCATAAATATTACAGCCGGTAGACTGTTATAAATAAATTTAAGAATGTCTCATAATAGATGATTTTAAAACATCTTTTTATAATGACATTTACGAGATATCTTTGGATAACGTTCCAAGGATGTCTTATTTAAGGTATCTTTAAGATTTGTATATATTGTCTGCAGATGTATGAATAAAAAGAAAGTTAAATATTAAACGGATTAAGTTAAATATTAAATAGATGGAAAAGGATAACAGCAAAAGAAAAAGAAATGCAAAAAATTAGAATAAAACGTTGGCATTCTGCCAGTTTTCGACACTGTTGCGTAGATTTTATCAAATACTAAGATGTATAAGGATTAATTATTTACTATTACTTTCTTAATCTACATACATTTTAATATATTAATGTATTACGAATATATTAATGTATTACGAATAATTTGACCATATATATGATATTATACAAATCGTAGATTTTATTTGTCATATATATATGTACACAATGATTTATTATATAGAACCATTTTCGAAACTATAACCTATATTTCAGGTGCTGTATTAGGCTTCACGTAGCGTACAACGTTTCGTTTCGTTTTTTATGATCACTTGTAATGTTTACTAAATATTTTAGTCAGTATATAACGTAATAAGATATTAACGTAAAAAACATATAATATGTTTTATTACTGAAACGAACAGGTGAATTAATGCTAAAATATAATTTTTTATCTATTCTGGTGGGAAGAGCTTCTTCAGCGGTACGTTATTTAAAATCTTATCGCTAATTTCAGAGGATATCTCTCTGAAGACATCTTCATATGCCACTTTAAGTTCTCGAAAGATTTCATCTATGTTTTCATTTATGAATTCGTTCATCTTTTCACCTGCAATCAATCAAATTTAAAAGCAATTAATAGAGAAAAAGCAAATATAAATATAAAACTTTTTTACGTTTAAAATAATAAATTATAATAATCAAGAATAATAAATAATAATCAAGTTTAAATAAATATTAATGGTGTTAGATTACGACCAGTAAAATTAAAAACTTATCAAGTTCTTCGAACAAATATTCGCTTCGAAAATCGCATATGTAACTATAGTTATAATAGTTATAATTGTTTAACATATTTAAGGAAAACTTGAGAACTTTTTCAATATTTAGTCTACGACATTTCGGTAACTATTTGCTGAAAGAAAAAGTGGTGCTTTTTTATTCTATTTAATCTCAAGAATATATTGTTACAATAGTGCCCTAATTTTTGTTACATGATGATTTTGAAATTCCCGATGGTCATCAAATTAGCAAAAGTTAGAGCTATAGTAACAGTATATTCTTGAGACCAAATAGAGTAAAAAAGAGTCTAAGACTTCTTATTTTTTTCCAACAAGTGGTTACTGACATATTGTAAGCTAAATCTTAAAAAGGTTACCAAATTTTTATTAAATATCTCAAACAATATTAGGCAAATAAAAAATGTAAATGTTTCAGACAAAGATTTTTTAGTTAGTAGGAATTAGTTAGCAGGAAAAGATATGATATAAATAATAAAAAGTTTGGGTTTCCATTTAAGAAAAGTAATGATCAGTGAACGTCTGGGAAGTGACGCCATTTATAAAACGACATTACTATATTATGTCGTCCTTCAAACCAACCCAGTCAGAACTACAACGTTGATTCGACATCAATAAACGTTGAATTAACGTTAATTCAACATTTCATCGATTATTTCAACGTCAAGTCAACGTCGAATGAACGTTATGATTCTGACTGGGAAGTCTTCTGTCTAAAATATTTTTTTATCTAATTACTGTCTGCAGTGTTAATCGGAGTGAACAATTAAAATGGGATAACCTGTATATGTGTATTACAGATGGGTAATACAGATTACTATACAGGGTGCACGATTTATCTGAAGACATTGAAATATCTCGAGAACTATGCATTGGATAAAAAAAAGTGGTTAATGAAAGTTGTTAGTATCGAAGGGGGACATCCAATGATACCAAACTCGACCTCTCACCCCACCCCCTGGGGGTGGGGGTTGGGAGCAACTTTGAAACCTTAAATGGAAACCCCCATTTTTTATTGCAGATACGAATTCTACGCCACAAAATACGTAAATTTTGTCCGAAACTTTTTTTTTGATTCGTGATAGATGGTGCTGTAATCGCAAAAAATTATATTTTCCGCAATTCTTCAGAAATGATCATTGGATTGAGAAATAAAAAATACCTGTTCAATATTTTTAATGAACATAATAAAAGTTATTCCCCCCCATCCTCTCGGGGTAGGGTGGGTGGTAATCAATTCAAATCTGCATGACGGTTGCCCAGCGCATAACTCAATAGCAGCATGGGAAGTATTAGACCGTGATTACAATGGTCGGTGGATTGGCAGAGGTGGCCCGATTAATTGGCTTGCTAGGTCGCCTGATTTGACATCGCCGGATTTCTTTCTGTGGGGTTACCTAAAAGATAAGGTTTATCAACAAGTGCCAACAACTCGTGAAAACATGGTAGAACGCATAAGAAACGCTTGCGCTGAAACTTCCGCATATATGCTTCTATCCTGTGTACAGTCATTTGAAAAAAGGATCAATAAGTGTATTGAAGTTGAAGGTAAAAATTTCGAACACTTACTCCAATTAATTGAACAGTGAGAGGCAAGGGGACTCACATTAAAAAAGCACCCCGATCTGTGAGAGGCAAGGGAACTCACATTAAAAAAGCACCCGAAGGGAACATAAAACTACGTCCTCGTCGTTGTTCCTGTGTAACGCTAAAAGTAGTTTCTCGGAAAAATTCAACGCTATCTATCACGAATGAAAAAAATTGTTTCAATAAAAATTTCACGTACAATCTAATTCTGCAATGAAAAATGTGGGTCCCCATTTGAGATTTGAACGTTACTTCTTTTAGCTTTTAGCTTTTAGGGAAACTACTTTTAGCGTTACACAGAAACAACGACGAGGACGTAGTAGTTTTATGTTTCCTTCGGGTGCTCTTTTAATGTGAGTCCCCTTGCCTCTCACTGTTCAATTAATTAGAGTAAGTGTTCGAAATTTTTACCTTCAACTTCAATACACTTATTGATCCTTTTTTCAAATGACTGTACACAGGATAGAAGCATATCTGCGGGAGTTTCAACGCAAGCGTTTCTTATGCGTTCTACCATGTTTTCACGAGTTGTTGGCACTTGTTGATAAACCTTATCCTTTAGATAACCCTACAGAAAGAAATCCGGCGATGTCAAATCAGGCGACCTAGTAGGCCAATTAATCGGGCCACCTCTGCCAATCCACCGACCATTGTAATCACGGTCTAATACTTCCCGTGCTGCTATTGAGTTATGCGCTGGGCAACCGTCATGCAGATTTGAACGTTACCACTCACCCTACCCCGAGAGGATGGGGGGGGATAACTTTTATTATGTTCTTTAAAAATATTGAACAGGTATTTTTTATTTCTCAATCCAATGATCATTTCTGGAGAATTGCGGAAAATATAATTTTTTGCGATTACAGCGCCATCTATCATGAATCAAAAAAAATGTTTCGAATAAAATTTACGTATTTTGTGGCGTAGAATCCGTATCTGCAATAAAAAATGGGGGTTTCCATTTAAGATTTCAAAGTTGCCCCCAACCCCCACCCCCAGGGGGTGGAGTGGGAGGTCGAGTTTGGTATCATTGGATGTCCCCCTTCGAGACTAACAACTTTCATTAACCACTTTTTTTTATCCAATGCATAGTTCTCGAGATATTTCAATGTCTTCAGATAAATCGTGCACCCTGCATATGACTTTCTTTGAACACAGGCTAGATTTAGGTTAGATTGTGCTAATGAAGCTTCGTTTCTCTTACTCCAGAATATTTTTTTTATAATGTTGTAAATGATCCGTTTTTTATCATCCATCACTAAACATCTTTAAAAAAATGACTCGTTTTCATTACTTTTATAAAACAAATCGAAATTAGAGAGAAATTTAAACGATTTTTCTCAGCTAATGCTTGAGGCACCCACAGCATATCGATTAATGCATTTAAGTTTTTCTAAATGAGTTATAATTGGCGTTTTGAATATTTAGAACGTCTTGGCAATCTCTTTTGTGGTATAGTGCTATATGTTTATTTTAAACTAGGATGGTGATTTAGTCGTTACCAATAGAGAAAGATCTTCATGAACCTGGAGTACTTTTCAAGTCAAGTTCAAAGAGAAGTCTTCTGCCTGAAACTTAGTAAACGATTTCTGACATGTTCAGTCATTCACAGTAATCTCTGTATCCCATATCTCCCGTTGGGTTTACGTTGCATTATTGCCTTTACGATAATAAATTAAGTTGGCGCGAACATACTTCCTTATTTTCATTCTTTAATTGATATTGCTTCACTATTACTTAAAAAATCTGTGCGACTTTTTTCTTTAATACGCTATAAAAATACCATAGAATTAAACAAAATTTACAAGTTAGGAATAATAATACTTCTAGTATTAATTTTCAATATCATTTACTGGCAAAATCCGAATTAACTTTTTGACCAACCTAATAATTACACGATGTATGTGAATAATTTGATTTATGGCAGTACATATTAAGTAGGAAGTATATATGATAATTACGTAATGTTAATGTGCTTTTGCCCTCTCCTTGAATAGGCAATAGTAGAATCTTGCCACTTATTTTATAATCGCTAAATAAGTCCATTCGAGGAATGAAAATTACCATATTGAATGAGTATGTCTTGTTGTCGAATCTAAGAGGAAAAAAATATATCAATTACAATTACATACATAATTGTAAATTATACATTATATATAAATTCATATCAATTACAATCATATCAATATCAATTACAATTATATATAAAAAAGGATCTATCAAAATAACTCGAATCAAATAGACTCAATTTCAAGGTTGTACGTATATTACCAATTAACCTAATATTTTTAATAAAATTTTTATGTTGCTTAATCCCTTGTGTATACTGGATTGTAAAACGGTTTGAACGCTTTATTAGGATGCAATTTGAAACGTAGCAGATATTTAATTAGAGAACTTAATATCTGACAATTTTTCAAAAACAAATTCTCTCTCATTGGATTACCAGCTGCGTCTCGAATCGCATTACCAAAAAGAAAGTGTTTAACCTTTTGAAACTTGAAGTATAATAAGCTCAGAATTTAATCTAATGAAGCGACAATCAAGCTGACATAACAGATTAATGGTTATTTGTGTTTGTATTTTAGATTAATGATTGTTTGATTGACTTAACTTTTCACCACAGGTAGAATTGCTTGTGTTATGCAGTTGGATAAATTTTTAGTAAGTAACTGAAATAATATTTGTATCCTCCATACCGCTTCAGTTTTGTTAATCTTTCATTATTGATAAAGATTTTTAATTCTTACACCAGACTATTGATATCTGACTCAATTTTTAATTAGTTTGATTCTAATGCGGTTGTTGCATTTCGCACAAAATATATATGTAACACTCTGCAGCTTAATTCTTTATATTAGATTTTTTATAAATGTGTAACCTATAGATTCATATCCATAATCTGTCATTTTAATCATTGGCTTACGTATCAGTGCCAGTGATATATGTCTATTTGAAATTGCAGGATTAATCCTTCTTTTTAGCCGTTATCCGATATATCATTAAATTATATCAATTACTATATATTCGCCAAGATATCATTTAAATATAGATTATGTCTGATGTGTGCAACAGTATATTTTTAGTTTAAATTGATTTGATGATTAGAGAAAATCAAACGAAAATTACATACTTGTCTACGATGATTCGTATATTCTTTGTCAGTCCATGAATCTTCAAATTCCGATATTCATATGTTATTGCTACAGGCCCGGTACCAGTAACAAGTAGATAATCTATTGCCAGCGGTTCGAGAGGTAAAATTTTTAACCCCCTGTTACCTAGATAAGTAGCAAATTGCCATTAATTATTTGCGACAAAAGATTGTGATAAAAGTTAAAAGGATATAGAGTTACATCTCTCGGAATAATTTAAAATCACTTATTCTAGTAAAACATGTAGTGTGTAATATTACTACTTTTATGTATTTACATTATATTTTTATGTGTCTTTGAATTTTGAAAGTAATTACATCGGTCACTTTATATGAATTATTTTATGTATAAGATAGGAAAATAATAAAAGAAAAGAGACTAATAATAGTAATAGTATTATAATGTAACTAATACAATGGAATCTGTTTCCATGTTTCTCTATTTATATTTTTTTGTGTATTTCCTTTTCGCATCAATCTATTCCTCTTATCAAATTTCTTCTCATCAATGATACCGTATCAAGCGATAAAAAATAATGCATGTGCACTTACCATTGGCTACGATTAGTGCTGTTTCGATAGCCTCAGCTAAACATTTTTTCATATGTGGTTCCGTCTTCTTACAAATCTTGAAACTGCTGGCTGTGAATCGAGAAATATTTCGTATAACTTATATTATATAATAGTGTATATTGTTGCAAATCAAACAAATTTAATACCAGGAATTATTAAAAAATTTATATTGATTAAGTACTACCAATATTTTAGTAATTATATTGTATATAGCTAATGCTTAATTGTGAATTATTATGAATTTATTTCATTACTATTGCAAAATACTATTTGTAGCAAATTAGACAGATAAAAATAAAATAACATAAATAAATGTTTGATGTTTTCGTCTAAATATTAAAAAAATGTGTCCTCGCACGCGCGAGCACGATTTCGGTTTATCGATATTATTATCCTTTTCCAAACTGCGACCAGAATGGTTTCATATTAATGATCAAAGGGAAACTAATGACGCTAATAACAAGGGACATTCGGCAACGCGGAAATTCAAAAAAATCTGAAACTCTGCATAATTGTAGAGCAGATATACCTAATAACAAAACAATTTTTCGTTGGTGCCCAAAAACGGTTTTAAGGGTGGAAACAACTCCTTGAACAAAGTTGATTTTTGTCTTTCTAAGCGAATATTATCGAAACTATTAAAGATATGAAAAAATGTTTTAGACAAAAGTTTTATGGTTTTAAAAGTACTTTATTATGCTATATTTAGATTTTTTAAAAATGTAAAATTGTGTATAAAATACTTCCCCTCCTTCTCTTTTTTCAAATTGTTAAAATCAATTGTCCAACCAAAATAAAGCTTATTTTATGACAAATTCAACCATATATAATAACATTATGTTTGGAAAAGGCAATATTGAAAAAAAAATTAAACATGCTCTTATATGTATGCTACGCGTACCAAACTTATGGGTTCGCTGCTTGACGATGGCATTTCTTTCTCCCTCATAATTACTGACTGTAAAAGGTAAGAAAGGAATAAAAACAGGTAATCTAAGAAAAGAATAAAGTTGATGTTAAGAAGTAAGTTGAAGAAGAACAGCATGATAAGGAGGACGCAGAGAGAGTATATATAACCCTAATATAGATAATCTTTTAAATTCAATTGTAAAGAACAAATAAGGAAATGAATGATATGAAGAAAAAAGGAGAACACACACGGATTTAATAATGAAAAATATAATTTATAAATTTATTCAGTGTACATTTGTGTGTATGTGTTTTGCTTCATTCAGTATATAGGTTTTATTAATTAAGTAGTCGATATAGATATTCGAGTGAAAGATATCTTATATTTTGGTATGGATTATAATATATACAAATTTTACAGGAATTGAGGACAGTAAAATATTATTTATTCTATATAATTATTACAATAATGATATTGCTCAAAGAAATGTTCAAAACAAAAATATTGCTTGCACCATGCACAACGTATAAAAGCCATTTTACTACAAATGCTACATTTTGGTATACGTTTTTCTTCTTTAAAATAACAATAATCGATTGGATTATGAAATTTTTCAGGCCGTGTTGATAAATAACCACTTTTATACCAGCTATATCTAAATAAATTTCGAAATCTTGGAGAAGACAGTTGATTGTGTGTTAAAGATTGCAATTTTATTATGTTATTACGTAAATGTAAATTTATGTCATAATTATTTATAATAACACTATCAGAAAAGCTTCGAACAAAATTTTTCCAGATTCTGAAACCAAATCATCTAATGACTGTATAAAAGCAGTTGTTTTTTTTGGTATTGTTAGAATATTTACATGTTTGTCTTTTGGTACAAGTTCTTCCAATTGGTTCGGGCAATGTCCTGTCCATGAATCAAGCAGTAGTATACTTTTCTCTCCAGTGTTTGGTAGATACACTTCTTGGAACCAATTTTTGAAATGTTCAGTTGTCAATTTCCCTGATTTTGAAGCAGCAATGTAAATATTCACTGGTCTAAAAAGAGTTTGTTCTACTTGTGGTCTAAAAACACCAGTAGATTCTTTTAATACTATATACAAAGGCGAAAGAAGATGTCCATCTGCAGATATAATAGGCATAATGGTGTAGCTATGAGTCATAGCAGATAAAGATTGGATAGTAGCTCCAACTGTCTTCACTCCTACATTAGCTAATGTTCTTCCTGCATGTATTTCTAAATTAAAGCCACTTTCGTCCGCATTATAAGTTGATTCAGCACCGATTACATTAATATGTGGCTTTACTGTATTTACAAATTCCTCAGCGTTTTGACGTATAGTTAGATCAGTTAAATGAGAAGACCGCGTTTTAAATGCAGTTATTTTACGTGATGTAATACGATGTGCCTTTTTAAAATTCCATATCCACCAATTTCCTGCTTTAAATGAAGAAAAATCCACTTGTTCCTTTGCTTCTAGTGCCCATTTTCGCAGATTTATATCATGAATAATAAGTCCTCTATTAACAGCTTCTTGGAATTTTATAAGAACATATTCAGCAATAACTACAAGTTTGTCTGTATTTGAACCCCCACGCATTACATGTTCTTGCCATCTGTGCAATTGTTGAATAGATTTTACCTAGAAGAAAACAAATCTCAATATTAAACAATTCGAATTCAAAAATAAAAGAAGTTATATACGAATTAAATGTTCACGAAACATCAAATTGTAAAACTTAAAATAAAAAACAACGCGACTCTAACTATATAATTTACAGCTTTGGTCATAAGTATAAAGCATCTCTAACTCATTGTATTTTCCTAGAAATCAATGCATATACTCATAGTAAATATATAATCTCTTTACAATAAATATTATATTAATATTTTATAATATAATGTGTATATTATATTTATGTATATTATATTTATATTATAATTTATATTATATTAATATTATATTATATTACAATAAATATTGTAAAATAAATATTATTTTCCACATATTCTTATATTATATTTTTTTATTATATTATTTTTCCATATACTCGTATACTATATTATGTTCTCCATATATTCATATAGTATGTTTTTGTTACACAATTTAAATAAATTTTTTGGGATGCTTTATACTTATAGTCAAAGCTGTATGTACAATGACCGACAATGATGCGTTCCGCGAGAGGGGAAATAGAGTTCTCTCTGTCGCGGAACGAATCACTGCCGGTCACTGTACACCGTAAAAGCCTCAAGTATTTTACTATATATTATTCTTCTTATTTTTTAATTAAACTTTACTTTTCTAAAACGATGTTGTACAGAAGTAAGAGATAAATGTCCTTTCTTTCCACTCTTCCAAAATTCGATTGCCTTTTTCTTATAATTTAAGTTTACATTTCCACCTTCATCATCCACAGTGCAAACTTCATTTCCATAATTATCTTCTTCAGCATCAATATCGTACACATCTACAAATTGTACGTCATGCGGTTCTGATGGATCGTCAAAATCAAGTCCCCACTCATGTTCGATCGTAATATCGTGATGTATAGCACTCTTTATTAAATCAGTAATTGTATCATGGAGTTCCACCTCTTGATGATTAACAGGAGTTATTGCAATATTTGTGAAATGAAATGTCGCAATTAACAAATTAATAACATTAGCTGGATTTATTACTGACATTATGATACAAATCTTAAGGATATTTTAATTAAACATTTCTCACAGCAATAATAATATACGTACAGCTTCAATAACTGCTTCAATAACACTGAAATGTATTCCAAAATGGACAGCTTTTATATGCAAATGAATGAAGATAACATATGTCAATATAATGAACCTTGATTGCACTGTACTTGATAAAGAGTGCTATTTTGGTCGCACAGTCATAAAACTTGTGACAAGTGTTTTGCATGTTGCCATGATGTACACACACGTGCGCACGTACAAAAACACACATACATACACACACATATTTATTTATATTTACGCGTGTCGTTTAAATTAATGAAAAAGGTAGCCGCAATGTTGGCAAAATAAACGTCTATTACGTGAAATTTTATAATTTATAACATTTTTAAATATTAGTGACTGTATCCTTATCATGCTATTTTTCTCCTACTTACTTCTTAACATCAACTTTATTGCTTTTTTAGATTTTCTATTTTCTTCCTTCCTTATCTTTTACAGTTTGCAATTATGAGGAAGATTTGAGGAAGAAAGAAATGCCATCGTCAAATAGCGAATCCTTAAGTTTGGTACGCGTAGCATACATATAAGAGCATGTTTAATTTTTTTTTCAATATTGCCTTTTCCAAACATAATGTTATTATATATGGTTGAATTTGTCATAAAATAAGCTTTATTTTGGTTGGACAATTGATTTTAACAATTTGAAAAAAGAGAAGGAGGAGGGGTATTTTATACACAATTTTACATTTTTAAAAAATCTAAATATAGCATAATAAATTACTTTTAAAACCATAAAACTTTTGTCTAAAACATTTTTTCATATCTTTAATAGTTTCGATAATATTCGCTTAGAAAGACAAAAATCAACTTTGTTCAAGGGGTTGTTTCCACCCTTAAAACCGTTTTTGGGCACCAACGAAAAATTGTTTTGTTATTAGGTATATCTGCTCTACAATTATGCAGAGTTTCAGATTTTTTTGAATTTCCGCGTTGCCGAATGTCCCTTGTAAGTCATAACATTTTAATGAGTTATGATATTTTGAAAAAAAACAAAAATATAGCATAAAACAATTTATAATAGCTTTATAGAAATTTATTACTGGCTGTAATAAATTGGCCAGTGATAATAAGTCATTTTATTTCTCGTATAAGTAATAAAATTATTCGTATGAGTAATGAAATTACTTATTATCACTGGCAAATATATTATAACCAGTAATAAATTTCTGTTAGGATAATCATAAGATTTATGTTTATCCTTCTTATTATCAAAAACTTACATTGTCTTCATAAATATTTACGTTCAAAATACTTATAATATTACTTATAATATTCGATACTTCAAAATACTTATATATTTATATTTTATTATGTTATATTTTATTATTATTCGATAAATAAATAGAACATTGTTTAAATAAATTCCTAGTATATTTTATTCTTATAGAAATTTAATACTGAGGAATTTATTACTAAGGTATTTCAGCGATTAAATATTGCCAATATCTCAATGATTATTTGTGCCCAATAGCTAATTATAAATTATTATGAATTTATTACGTTATTATTGTAAAATACTGCTTTTATCAAATTAGAAATAAATTAGAAATTAGAAATAAATAAATAAAGTGAATCAATGCTTGATGTTTTCGTCTAAATAATAAAAATATATCGTCTCTCATGATTTTAATCCAACACGATCACTTTTCCTGTGACCAGCATCGTTTTACTTCAGTGAACAAGCAGGAACGCGGTAACGTTACTCAGTCGTGATGATATCTTGGGAGAGAGAGAGAGAAAGAGAGAGAGAGAGAGAGAGAGAGAGAGAGAGAGAGAGAGAAAGAGAGGGAAAATGAGAGATTGTATTTATAAAATGCTTTTATATATTCTTCAAAAAACATAATAAAGACATATGTTCAAAACAACGCAATCAACTTAGAATCGATATTATATCCATCTTATTGATATAATAAATAATAACAATTCAATATAATGCTCTAGCTCATAAATGTTCAATTAAACATTATAGTGAATAGTAGATTAAACAATAATTTAAGTTGAAAAGAAACGTAATATGAAATGATTCGTAATAATAACGGAAAGATTTATGTTTATCTTTTTCCGTTATAAAAAAATTTATTGGATGATTGCATAAAATCGTGTTCGATTTTCATAAACGGCGTTAACTTACTGCATGGCAAAGCTCCAGTGTTTTTGTTTTTTATGTTGTATGCACTGAATAGGTGACAGTGTCTTGTGTCACTCTAGCGTCAAGCATCGTGCAGATAAGTCGATTTGTGCGTAAGAGAAATTTTTAAAAATGAAGAACGAAAAGGTGCATTTGCGACATGTAATGCTATTAGAATTTCGGAAAGGCGTGAGTGTTGGGACTGCACAAAAAACATTCAGAGCGTTTATTTGGAGCGTATTCCTGTTCGCCGGACAGTTAAAAAGTAATTTGGATTTCGAAATGGTGATTTCAACTTGGAAGATCAACCCCGCTTTGGACGGCCTTCTGTTGATGACGACATTGTGTGTGTTTTAATGGAAGAAAACCCAAGGAGGATTACAACTGAGGAAATTGCTGAGAAACTGAAAATCGATAATTCGACCGCGTTTCGCCATTTAAAAAAGCTTGGATATGTTTCCAAGCTCGATACATGGGTATCGCATTTCTTGACTGAAAGGAATAAGCTGAATCGCATAAATGTGGCTATTTCTTTCCTCGCGCGTAACAGAAAAGAGCCTTTTTTGGATCGAATGGTAACAGGCGATGAGAAGTGGATTCTGTACAATAACGTACAGCGAAAGAGGACCTGGAAAAAAGCAGTTGAAGGTGCAGAACCCGCCACAAAAGCTGGCCTACGTTCACTGAAGGTGTTGCTGTGTGTTTGGTGAATTGCATTGCAATAAGTGTGACAAAATATTCTGGGAATTTTTGAACGTTTTCGACAATCCATCGTCGATGCGAGCCAAGCATCAATGCGGAAGGAAATTCAGCAATTTATGTAATGAAATGTTCTTGCAGTTCAAATGTTGTTAAAGTTTGTAAGTAAAGTAAATAAGAAATATTTATAATTTGAAAAGGAAACATTTCCGAATCCATGTTTTTATGACTTTTTTCAATGAATGGAATATGCTCTTAAAGTTTGGCCTATTTCTAAAAACTGAACTATTTCCAAAACACCTTATATATTTAAATATTTAATATATATTTATATGTATATATTTAAAAATGTTGTATGTGCTTTAAATTTTTCTATAAATTAGATCGATTATGCTCTTACTAGACAAACTGTACATTCTGCGACTGCACAAAAACAATGTATTACGGAATATATTGTAAGGAAATATAACGAATCCTGGTATTGATTACTGTTTCTAGATATTAATCACTAATGTGAAAGTTATTAAATTACTCTGAAATATTAGCAACCCTTATTTTGATAATTTTATTTATTTAAGCCACTGAGTAACAATAATTCATTATTGATCAATTACTAATACTTTTCTGCAATAGTGTTCAATCACTACCGCATTAAATACGGAAACACTTGTAATCACATGCGACCACAAATATTTCTCTGTTTAATCAATAATTGAATTGCTAAGCTTTACCAACAGTACTTTTAATGCATGAAATAACTGATTAAAAAATCGCTAACTTACCAGTATTAAATTTTTACAAGGATTTATAAGGATAATTTTATAAGGATTTATAAGGATCTATTATTATAAAAAAGCGATATAAAATAATTTTCCGTCGATATAACAAGAGGATATTTTCGTAATTACTTACGTAATTCTGTCGCCGTAACTGCCACCACTACAGAGAAAAAGATAACTGACGATTTCATTACTTCTGAATTTTTATTCTCAAGTTGACACGCGTAATACTGATTGAAAATCAAATAGCTTTCGTAGATAAGAATTTTCGTAGCCGTTATAGAAGAACGAACTGGAAGGACGAACACTCGAGCGGAGTATTTAAGCCTCGCTCGCCCCACCTGTAGTCCTTATAGTATCATAAAAACGTTTGTGAAAACGCTAATCTATACAAAAGGAACAAAACGAACATATTTATTGTTACATCATAATACATTCGGAATTAAATATATTCGCATAGCTCGTGTAATATATCAATATAGCTGTGACGTAGCTCTAATGCGACTTATAATAATCATATAAGAAGGATGTAGAAAAATATTACTAGCTATAATAAATTAGCCAGCGATAAATTATCGTTGCTCAATATTGTTGATTTTTTTCCTGGGATAAGAAATTGGCCAATGATAAATTATTATAGTTGCTTAATAATTTTATTGCTCATAATTTCCGCTGTTTTTTTGCTTGAAAAACACATTTCATTCAATTACAAAATGAATTGATTAATCAATCAAAATATTTTTCATCGCTTTGTATTACTTTTTTCCATCTTTCTCGTAAGAGAAGAATTCCGATGGAACAACTCAGGTTTTGAAATAATCCATTCATCCGCTGACTTTCGGACTTCTTCGTAATTTTAAAAGTATCTTGAAGGCCACGCTGAATCGAACAAAACAAATGATAATCAGACGGAGCCAGGTCTCGAGAATGCAGCATGCGGAAGAACCTCTCATTCGAGCTCTGTCAGCGTTTCCTTGACGACTTTTGTCAAATGATACCGGACATTGTCGTGCAACAGAATCACTTTTCTTTTGTTGCATGCGATTTGTGATCGTTTTTGATCCAACGCTAGCTTCAAACTGTTGTTGTCAGTACCGGTCAAACGTAACAGTTTCATTCGGTTTTAAAAGCTCATAATACGCGATACCTTTTTGATCCCACCAAATATAGAGCAATGTTTTATGACTATGAATATTGCGTTTCGGCGCCGATGTGGCCTGGGTCTACCTATAATTTTTTGTGTTTGGGATTGTCATAATGGATCCACTTTTCACCACCAATGACAGTCCGATACAAAATACTCTTTTTTTTACCTAATAATCAAAGCTAGGACGATTTGCTTCAGTCAGTTCATGTGGTACTCATTTTTCTTTCTTTTGAAATTTTCCATTGTATGTAAACGGTCAGAAACTATCGAAATTCCAACATTAGTGCCTCAGCCAATTCCTTAAATGCTTGAGATTGATTTTGATCCAATAATGCTTGCAGTTCGGCGTTTTCACACTTTTTTGGCTGACCTGGACATTTCTATTTCACATCAAAATCATCACTTTTGAATCGTCAAAACCAATCTTTATATGTTGTTTTTGATAGAGCAGAGTCACCATAAGATTCTACTAAATGCGCAACTAAGTTTCCGGGTTTCACACATGGATGGCGCTAACGACACATGTAGTCGACATACATGTCTGAAGTTGTGTCTTTTTTATAGCTTGGACATCTTTTAACAATAACGAGTCGTAATACCAACACATATCGCAACGTAAAAATATTTTTTCTCACAAGGAAGATGTCGAGTTTTGTGTCAAATAAACAGCATTTGCGGGAAGCTTTGCTTTCCTTGAAATTTGCTTTTCTTTGCTTTTCTACTTTAACTTGAAAAAGAGTACAGCTGAAGCATGTCATTTGTTTGAGGAGGCCTACGGCGAACATGCACCATCGAAAACTACTTGTGAAGATTGGTTTAAACGTTTCAGAAGTGGCGATTTCGACACTGAGGACAAGGAGCGCTCCGGAAGACCAAAAACAATTGAGGACGTCGATCTGCAAGCGTTATTGGATGAAGATTATACGCAAACACAAGATCAACTTGCGGAGGCATTAAACATGACTCGCCAAGGTATTTCCAAACGTTTACATGCCATGGGAAAAATTCAAAAGGAAGGAAAATAGGTGCCGCATGAGTTGACTGAGAAACAGATGGAAAATCGAAAAGCCACTTCCGAAATTTTGCTTTTACGGCATGAAAGAAAGAGTTTCCTGCATCGAATTGTTACTGGCGATGAGAAGTGGATATATTTCGAGAATCCCAAGCGCAAAAAATTGTGGCTTTCACCTGGCGAAGCATCAACATCGACGGCACGGCCAAATCGCTTCGGAAAGAAGATAATGCTCTGCGTTTGGGACCAGAAAGGAATCGTGTACTATGAGCTGCTAAAAAGAAGCCGGGCGCAACTGTCAATGGGCATCGCTACCGACAACAACTGATCAATTTGAACCATGCATTGCTCGAAAAACGGTCAGAATGCGACACGAGACGAACGAGTGATATTGCAGCACGACAACGCTCCGTGCCATCGCACTTCCATCGTCCAGGATACCATCAAAACACTGAAATGGGATCTGCTACCGCACCTGCCGTATTCGCAAGACCTGGCCCCTTCCGATTATCATTTGTTCCGGTCGATGGCGCATGGCTTGGCTGGGCAACACTTGGCCAATTTCGAAGAAGTGCAAAATTGGTTGGATGAATGGTTTCGGTCCAAAGACGCGTCGTTTTATTGTCGCGGTATTCATATATTGCCAGAGAGATGGCAAAAATGTGTAGCTAGTGAGGGACGATACTTTGAATAAACCATTTTTTATATTTCTCTTGAAATTTTCCATTTTTCATTGATCAAAAAAACCCGAAAACTTAGTTGCGCACCTAGTACTAATATTCGATGTGCTTCAACTGTAATTTTTTATATATCATAATGGTAGAGGAGAGCATATTAAAAAAACAACTTATTGAGTTCTCTCTCTCTCTCTCCCTCTCCCTCTTACTCTCTCTCCCTCTCCCTCTCTCTCTCTCTCTCTCTCTCTCTCTCTCTCTCTCTCTCCCCCTCTCCTCTCCCTCTCCCCCCTCTCTCTCTCTCTCTCTCTCTTCCACTAGTCAATTTATTAGTCCAAAGGAAAAACAGATTAAATATGAGAATTTTGTCCATGTATAATCATGCTTAATCATATATGTCCACAACGAAAAAATACAATTATGTAATTAGAATCGAAGTAAATGCTTATGCTTCTAGCAGCACATGATGTCGAATTTGCATACTATTTTTTTCATTTTTCATTTAACATCATTCCTTTTCCGTATGGACATATATGATTATACATATGTAACCATGTATAGACAAAATTTATGTGTGATTTATATATAATCAGATATAATTTTATATAATTATATACATATCAGGTGTAGTAAAAAGAAATCCATTATTTTTGCATGAAATTGAAGGCTTTAATTACCATAGTTAGAATTATCCGATTTAGGTCAAATATGCGCCGTTTTGTTCGATAACTTGTTGCCATTTTGAAGGTAATTTCATTATGCCTCTCTCATAGAAGCCCTCGTCCCTATTGGCAAAAAATTGAGACAGTCGATTTTCACAAGCCTCTCTTGAAGCGAATTTTTCACCAGCAAAATTGTTCGCTATGAACAGGAACAGATGGTAATCACTTGGTGCCAGGACTATAAGGTCCTATATGGTCCTGACTATAAGGTGGATGCATAAGAACCTCCCAACCAAGCTCCCGGAGCTTCTGGCGAGTCACTATCGATGTGTGTGGCCTGGCGTTGTCCTGATGGAACACAATTCCTCTCCTATTGGCCAAAGCTGGCCGCTTCTGGGCGATTGCTTCCTTCAGACGGTCCAATTGTTGACAGTACAGTTCCGAGTTAAGAGTTTTGCCGTAGGGGAGCAGCTCATAGTAGATAATTCCCTGCCAATCCCACCAAACACACAGCAAAACCTTCCTGGCCGTCAATCCTGGCTTGGCCACCGTTTCCGCCGGCTCACCGCGATTCGACCACGACCGTTTTCGTTTGACGTTGTCGTAAGTGATCCACTTTTCGTCACCAGTGACCAACCGCTTCAGAAATGGGTCGATTTTGTTGCGATGCAGAAGCGATTCGCAGATGGAAATTCGGTCCATGAGGTTTTTTTTCGTTAACTCGTGTGGCACCCATACATCGAGCTTCTTTTTGTATCCAGCCTTATTCAAATGGTTCCAAACGGTTTTTGTGCAATCTTTAGCTCTTGGGCAATCGAAACAGTGCTTACATGACGGTCCGACTCGACAATGTCCATGATTTTATCGATATTTTCGACAATTGGCCTTCCAGTGAGTGGTGCATCTTTGACATCGAAATTACCGGAACGGAATCGACGAAACCAAAATTGCGCGTGATTGGCTGTTACAGTATCAGGACCATAAACACTATTCACATTTTCAGCCTCCTGGCTTGCGTTTTCGCCTTTATCGAAGAAAAACTGTAAAATATAGCGTATTTTCTCTTTGCTAGTCTTTGCCATCTTTGACGCGCGCTGAAACAAAACTGAGTCAACTAATCACAAAACTGTCAGAAAAGTTTTTTTACGAGTACGAAATCTCATCTTTCTAACGCCATCTAGCGGAACCCGATCGGACTTATACAACGCGAGATACAGATAACTAAAGCCATCTATTGGAAAAATAATAGATTTCTTTTTACTACACCTAATATAATCATATACGATAATTTTCTTCCTGAAACAGCGCCAGTACTTTTTTATAAAAAGATACACTGATGAAATCCAGTTTTAACCAACAAGTCGATAGAAAAGTAATAAAAAGGATTGATTTGTAATAAGATGTACTCGATTGTTAAAATTTTAGCAGAAATATCAAGGAGTAGAAGAAGAATCCTATTTCTTCAACTATCTTTATTTTGGTAAATATTCACCTTTACACAGCCCGCATAAAATGACCTTCGGTTGACCTTGATGTTAACCTTGACCCTTAAGGATGTCAAAAGTCATAAACTTTTCCCGTCGCTCGTTCTTCATTACAAAATTATTAACAAAAATTAAAAATTAACATTTTTATCAATTATCTTATCAAATACTGGAAATTTCAAAAAATGTTTCAAGTAAAAATTGTAAGTCTCTTCAAAATATAGATTTTATGTTTTATGC